ACATTGGATCACTACCACTACACTCAGCAGTCCTCGTATCCAGATTAATTTCATGACCTGTGAAAACAAAAACAATCACTTTTTGGGTTGTTTTTTTTAAGCAGCATAATTGTATGTATTGTAAACCTTATTTGACTGAGGTACATTGGAAAGGGCACCACTGGTTTTATTGCAAAGGCCATTCTCCTGCCAGCAGTCCACATGCAATTCAAACAAAATTTCATCCTTTGTCATGGGATTTTCAATTAAAAAAAAAATAAAATAAATCTAGGATATGGTTGGATTATAGGCCCCGCACTTGTCCATCGAACCTTTGGGCCCAGCATCCAGAGTATTTTCTTTCCTTCCTGTTCCATAGGAACAGAAGAATGTCCCTACTGGGTCAGAACAAAGGTCCATCTAGCCCAGTATCCTGCCTTCCGACAGTGGCTAGTGCCAGGTGCCCCAGAGGGAATGAACAGAACAGGTCATCATCAAGTGATCCATCCCCTGTTACCCATTCCCAGCTTCTGGCAAACAGAGGCCAGAGTCACCATCCCTGCCCATCCTGGCTAATAGCCATTGATGGACCTATCCTCCATGAATTTTATCTAATTCTTTTTTGAACCCTGTTATGGTCCATTTTCCATATTGATGTGTATCTATTGTTTCACCAAATAGTTAGTACTTGTCTATTTTCCACTGTATTCATTCTTTTCCAGTTAACTGTTTGACAGGATAAGGCCTACTTAATTCAAAGGTTGTCATTTGATTCCAGGTTACTTGTGTTAATGCCTGGGGCACCGATACGGCCCGTATGTCCAAATTTAATAAAACTCCATGCCAATTTGAAAAGATTCCGTTACACTTATAGACAGTTATCTTTTGAGATGTGCTTTTTTTACAGACTAAGAGATGTAACATACAGTTTAGGCCCTGAACTCCTTTATCTGCGTGGCGTATTTCTACCAAGGTTGGTTCTCTCTTTCGACCAGGTACGGCAATGGTCCCAGTTTATTTATAGTCTGATGTGGACCGTGCTATTCAATTTCTTTTTGGGTGGTGGGACAGTTTTAACCATTAGTTGATCCCCTGTTTGCCACTGCTTTCATCAAAGGCTTGGTTCACTTTTTGTGGCTGACCCCTGGACCGTGCCCAGTCAATATTTAAGACTATTTATCCAGGTTTTTGTGGCCAGTGCTGCTATGGCTTCCCAATCTGGGGGATATAATAGATTTTCCCATCCAGGCCTAGGCCTTCCAAACAGTATTTTATGTGGGCTAAGCCCAGTCATACGGTTTGGACGACTACAGATTCTCATGAGCACCCATGTGAAATCCGGATCCCAATTTGTGCCTAGTTCATTACGTACCTTAGATAACTCAATTTTAAGAGATTTATTCATTCTTTCTACTTGTCGTCTGGCCTGAGGGTGATATGCAATGGTAAGGGAATACCTGCCTGAACGCCCATGCTTTGGTACACATATCCAATAAATGCTGGCCCATTATTAGAATTATATAGAATAGTCAGTGAGGTAAACCCCATCTAGGAAATACTTCTCTCATTAAGGCTTTGCAGTGACATGGCTACCTTCCTCTCTTGCGGGGAATGCCTCCGCCCACTAACTGAAACTATCCACAATGATAAACAAAATCAGTTCTTCCTAGACGTTATAGGCAGTGGCCCTACAAAATTCACCTGCAGGCTTTGGAACAGCCCTTTCGAAGCCTGATGCATTAGCTCACCTCTTCTTTTTCGTTGTGCAGGATCTTGTTTTGCACATGTTAAGCAGTGGTGTGTGTGCATTTTCATGTCTTCCCTTATCCTTGGCCACCAGCCTACCTTTTAAAGTTTTTCTATAGCCTCTTCTAACTTGTAGGAATGTAGGAATGAAATCAGGAGGGCCAAATCGCACCTGGAGCTGCAGCTAGCGAGAGATGTCAAGAGTAACAAGAAGGGTTTCTTCAGGTATGTTGGCAACAAGAAGAAAGCCAAGGAAAGTGTGGACCCCTTACTGAATGAGGGAGGCAACCTAGTGACAGAGGATGTGGAAAAAGCTAATGTACTCAATGCTTTTTTTGCCTCTGTCTTCACTAACAAGGTCAGCTCCCAGACTGCTGCGCTGGGCATCACAACATGGGGAATAGATGGCCAGCCCTCTGTGGAGAAAGAGGTGGTTAGGGACTATTTAGAAAAGCTGGACGTGCACAGGTCCATAGGGCCGGACGAGTTGCATCCGAGAGTGCTGAAGGAATTGGCGGCTGTGATTGCAGAGCCATTGGCCATTATCTTTGAAAACTCGTGGCGAACGGGGGAAGTCCCGGATGACTGGAAAAAGGCTAATGTAGTGCCAATCTTTAAAAAAGGGAAGAAGGAGGATCCTGGGAACTACAGGCCAGTCAGCCTCACCTCAGTCACCGGAAAAACCATGGAGCAGGTCCTCCAAGAATCAATCCTGAAGCACTTACATGAGAGGAAAGTGATCAGGAACAGTCAGCATGGATTCACCAAGGGAAGGTCATGCCTGACTAATCGCCTTCTATGATGAGATTACTGGTTCTGTGGATGAAGGGAAAGCAGTGGATGTATTGTTTCTTGACTTTAGCAAATCTTTTGACACGGTCTCCCACAGTATTCTTGTCAGCAAGTTAAAGAAGTATGGGCTGGATGAATGCACTATAAGGTGGGTAGAAAGTTGGCTAGATTGTCGGGCTCAACGGGTAGTGATCAATGGCTCCATGTCTAGTTGGCAGCCGGTGTCAAGTGGAGTGCCCCAGGGGTCGGTCCTGGGGCCGGTTTTGTTCAATATCTTCATAAATGATCTGGAGGATGGTGTGGATTGCACTCTCAGCAAATTTGCGGATGATACTAAACTGGGAGGAGTGGTAGATACGCTGGAGGGGAGGGATAGGATACAGAGGGACTTAGACAAATTGGAGGATTGGGCCAAAAGAAATCTGATGAGGTTCAATAAGGATAAGTGCAGGGTCCTGCACTTAGGGTGGAAGAACCCAATGCACAGCTACAGACTAGGGACCGAATGGCTCGGCAGCAGTTCTGCGGAAAAGGACCTAGGGGTGACAGTGGACGAGAAGCTGGGTATGAGTCAGCAGTGTGCCCTTATTGCCCAGAAGGCCAATGGCATTTTGGGATGTATAAGTAGGGGCATAGCGAGCAGATCGAGGGACGTGATCGTCCCCCTCTATTCGACATTGGTGAGGCCTCATCTGGAGTATTGTGTCCAGTTTTGGGCCCCACGCTACAAGAAGGATGTGGATAAATTGGAAAGAGTCCAGCGAAGGGCAACAAAAATGATTAGGGGTCTGGAACACATGACTTATGAGGAGAGGCTGAGGGAACTGGGATTGTTTAGTCTGCAGAAGAGAAGAATGAGGGGGGATTTGATAGCTGCTTTCAACTACCTGAGAGGTGGTTTCAGAGAGGATGGTTCTAGACTGTTCTCAGTGGTAGAAGAGGACAGGACAAGGAGTAATGGTCTCAAGTTGCAGTGGGGGAGGTTTAGGTTGGATATTAGGAAAAACTTTTTCACTAGGAGGGTGGTGAAACACTGGAATGCGTTACCTAGGGAGGTGGTAGAATCTCCTTCCTTAGAAGTTTTTAAGGTCAGGCTTGACAAAGCCCTGGCTGGGATGATTTAATTGGTCCTGCTTTGAGCAGGGGGTTGTACTAGATGACCTCCTGAGGTCCCTTCCAACCCTGATATTCTATGATTCTAACTTGGGGTGTCCCCCTACAAGAGAGTCACATATCCAGCTCACCAATAAATGTCGTCGTTGCTGTGGAATTACTAAAACCCAGTTGTTCTCTGGGTGCACTGCTTGTATGCTCGTGACAAGGTACCAGCACATTCAACGTCAAGTTGTCCCCTAAGCCAGCACACAGAATCCGGGGTTGGTACATTGATATTTGTACGGAAAACAAACCATTTCTTCCATACCACCTTCCTTGCTTCCTGACATCTGTTTGTTACCTCCCCTTGTACCTTGCTGCTGATGTCTCGGACAAAACATCCCTATTCATTGCTTCTGTTAAACCATCTTATCTTATGCTCCATTGGGGTGGACCTGGGCTAGGGCCTTCTGGGATGTGTTTACACGAACACCCAGGGCCTAGTACTGAGGAGCACCTGGCTCTCAGCCATGCTAGCTGTGCCTTTGCCAAGTTCAGGTACCGGACGGTGAACTTGTAAGCAAGCGTTTGCTCTATAACAGGTTCTGCCTTTGGCTTCTAGCACGGCCTGGCTTTGCTGACTGTGGTTCATGCCTTAGGTCTTGCCCCAGGCCCCGTGCTCCAGGCTCTCTCTCTCTACTCCACTGTACCTCAGAACGCCTCTCTGAGGGGGCTGGGGGCGGATGAAGGCTTTATAGGCTCTGCCTTCCTCTCTGGGCCTTTGATGTAGCACTGTGGGGCTAGGCCAATCCCAACCTGCTGCTGAGTGCGGCTCCGCTTCAAGGCGGGGAGAGGCCCCTGGCCACATTCTGGCAAAATTGCTGGGGGTTGGGGACCAGCCTCTAGGGGGACAGCTTGAGCTCTGTAGAGGTGCAGGGGAGCCCATGGTGCCTGAGGGCTGTCATGTGCGCTGGGGCTTACGTTGGACCCCTAGGTGCCACATGGGGAGGCGCTGCAGGAGTGGGAAAGGGGCCCTGCTGGCTTACCATGGCTGGGGCAGGCTCACCCCCTCTGGAAGGCCTGGCTGGCACTGCTGGGGAGGTAGCTGGCAGTGCCCTGTGGAGAGTAGGGGGAGAGTACCCTGCACTGTCACTGCTAAGCTGGGGGAGGTGAGGGGAACCTCAGTTCTGCTGACTCGTGCCCTCGATCCTGACTGGCGCGTCAGAGAGAGCTCGGGAACAGCCCAGAGCTGTAGGCTGCCTCCTGCTGCTGTTGCTGCCCCGAATGCATCTGTTACCCCCTCAAAATGCTCCTGGGTCCCCTAGTGCTGCTCGGTCCTGGACATCCCGGAGCCTGCTGACCTCCCATCTCTGCTCTGCTTCCCCCAGGCAAGAACTACGAGAATGCTGTGAAATATTACAGCGAGGCCATCGACCTGAACCCCGCCAATGCCATCTACTACGGCAACCGCAGCCTGGCCTACCTGCGGACAGAGTGCTATGGCTACGCACTGGCCGACGCCACCAAGGCCATCGAGCTGGACAAGAAGTACATCAAAGGATACTACCGGCGGGCTACCAGCAACATGGCCCTGGGCAAGTTCAAGGCCGCCCTGCGCGACTACGAGACGGTGAGTGCGAGCGGGACACTCTGCGGGGAATCCAGCGGCAGCGCCGTGGTCCTCTCCGGCTTTGCAACACTCTGGCTTGAGTTCTGCCTTTGCCAACATTTGGTTGGTGAGCTCACCTGGGTGCAGCTGAGAGCAGAGGGCGTCTGCACCCAGGAGGGTGATGGGTCGAAACAGGGCAGGAGACAGGTAGGACTAGGATGAACTGAACAAAGGGATCTTTAGCTCCTGTCCTGGGGAACGTTTCACATCGGTCAGGCCGGCTAGACTGTAGAACTGTCTTCCTGGGGAAAAGTAGAGATCCCATCGTTTGGGACACAAAGGTGTGGTGATATCCATAAAAACAGCCCCCTAGCTTCCGCCCCATGTGTGTCCAGGTTCCACCTACTCAAGTTTCACCCCTGCTAGCCCATGCAGCTGAAAGCAGGGCCCCGCATAAGAATGCCTGTCTTAGCTTCTGGCTGGGCTTGGTGCTGCATAATGTGGAGCTTGGGGCTGTTTTTCACCGCCTGCAGCGCTCTCAGCCAGCCCTGCTCACTGCAGGGCGGTGGGCTGCAGTAAGACGCCGCTATGATGCTCCCGTCCAGCTGGCTGGAATCGCATTTTCCCCCTCTCCCTTTGGCGACCGGAGTTGGGAATCTGGAATCAGCCATCGTGGGATGTAAACTCCTGTCCAAGCCATTACGGTTCATTTCAGTCCCATTATTGTTGTGCTTTCAAAGCTCTAGATCAACGACACCCTTAGCCCAGGCTCCACTGGGACAGCCCGAATAGCTGTGGACTTTGTCAGGGGACCCGCTCCTGCCGTACTGTGTCTGGGGGCTGGTTTAGAAAGGATGCAACAGATCCTGGCACTGGCTGCATTGCCATGCAGGAGACGTGGGCTCCCGGGTGTCTGTGAGATCTCCCGGAGGGATGTTGGGCCGGTGGCCCATGGCGGGAGCAGGATTACCACATAGTGAGGGCTTGGCTAACTGTACCCTGTGGGCATTGGTAGCATGTGCCTGGTGCTTCCTAAATACCATGGATCTCTGCTTCTCCTTCACAGAATGGGCACCGGGGCTTACTCTGATGGAGATCCCTCCATGACCCCACCCAGTAGCTTTATAGTGCCACTAGGTAGGGCACAGGCCCCACCTCCCTCAAACAGTAATGACGGTGCCTATTAAGGTCACTGTGTTTTCAATGGGGGAGACTAAGTGATGTGCCCAGCATTACAGAGCTAGGGGAACCCAGGAGTCCTGACTCCCAGCCTGCCCTGCTCTAAGCATTAGGCCCCACTCCCCTCCCAGAGCTGGGGATAGGACCCAGGAGTCCTGCCTCCCAGCCTAATGCCAAGTCTCGCACTTCCCCGGGCCTCTCCTTGTCATGCCCTTTTGTCTGCCTTTCCCTCCGTTTCTCCTTCCTGCCTGACACTGGCCTGTGATGGGCTCTGTGCTCTGCTCTCTCCCTTCCAGGTGGTGAAGGTGAAGCCAAACGACAAAGATGCCAAGATGAAGTATCAGGAGTGCAACAAGATTGTGAAGCAGAAGGCGTTCGAGCGCGCCATTGCCAGTGATGAGCACAAACGCTCCGTGGTTGACTCCCTGGACATAGAGAGCATGAGTGAGTTGGGCTGCGGGGCTCTGGGCCTGGCTTCTCTGGTCACATGGATCCCACAGGGGTGCTGGGGGAGAACTGGCTAGCTCGAGGGAGGGGCAGTGACCACGAGCTCCCAGAGCAGCGCTGGGGCCCAGAGAGCTAATGGGACCCTTGGATGTTGAAATGGGGATAGTGAGTGGGGGTGGGGAGGTGCTTTTCCCTCTGTACCCGGCCTTGGCGAGCCGACGCTGGATCCTGCGTCCAGCTCTGGGGCCTGCATTTTAAAAAGGACTTTGCAGAATTGTCAAGGGTGCAGAAAAGAGCCAGGAAACCAATCTGAGGGCTGGAGAAATGCCTGACAGGGACTGACAGAGCTTGATCTGGGTAGCTGATCCAAGAGAAGATTGAGAGGTGACTTGATTACAGTCTCTAAGCTCCTTCCAGGGGAGAACCAGCGAAATGAAGGGCTCAGATGTCTGCGGAGAAAGGCAGAACAGGGACTGATGGCTGGCAGGGGAAGCCGGAGAAATTCCAGCTGAAAGTCAGAGCCAAGTGCTTACCAGTGTGGGTGATTAACCGCTGGAACAATCAGCTCAGGGAAGTGGTGGGTTCTCCAGCCCTTGATGTCTCCCAGTCCAGCCCAGATGCCTTGCTGGAAGACGCCTCAGTCACACGCAAGTGATTAGGCTCAGTACGGGGGAAGTACTCTGGCCTGTGGTGTACAGGAGGTCAGAGGAGACTATGGTCTGGTCGTGCTTCCTATTGCATGGATATCTTGCTATAACTGCCTCATGCAATGATGCACGTCTCATGAACACAGCTACCAAAAGGTGGGGCTCTGGGCCTAGTATAATAGCTAGTTGGCTTCTGTGTCCTGTCTGCTCTGTGTAGTTTTAATCTATGATCTCACGCGACACACCTTGTGTATGTGATCAGCGTGAGACTACAAGGACATTGCTGGAGAGGAATATGTGTGTGTGATTCCGACAAAGCCGAGCTCTCCCCTGTGCTTCTGGCATCCTGGCAGAGGATTGGGGCAGGTTTGTCCTGGGGTGGTGTTATCCTGACCACAAAGGGTGCTGATTCATGACTAAAACCCAGGATTGGAAGCTGGGAGATCCCGGTTGTTTTTGAATCTATCTATACAGTAACATGTGCCGGGGATCAGCGCCCCCATTCTGCCAGGCAGTGCACGTACACAGTGAGTCAGTCCCTGCCTCCCAGAGCTTGCAATCTGAATAAATAAGGTGGGGGAAAAGGAAGGATTGCTATCCCTGTTTTACAGATGAAGAGCTGAGGCCCAGAAAGATTAGGGATAAATCTTTCAAAAGCCCCATAATCTCATTTTTAAAAGATCCAAAGTCATCGAGACTCGAGAGCCTCAGCCCTTAGGGCGGGTTTTCAAAGGGATTTAAGCACCTAAAGAGGCAGATTGGCACCTAGTGGGATTTTCAGAGGCACCTAAGCAGGTGAAATCAGTGGGGGTTTTGGCACCTCACCTGCCCAGGCACTGTGGAAAATCCCACCTTTGTTAAGCACCTAGCTGCATCTTTAGGCTCCTAAACATCTTTGAAAACCCAGCCCTAAGGGACCCAGCCACCCAGCTCCTATTGATTTAATCAAAACCTGCTTAGTCACTTCTGAAAATTCTTGCCTCAGACTACATGGCGAGTTCGTGGCGGAGGCAGGAACTAAAATCAGCTCTGCCAAGTCCCAGTCAGGGGGCTGTAACCCTCTTCCCCGTTCTCCTGCTAGTATCAGAGGGGCCTGCGTCATCTGTGGCAGGGATGCAGGCTTCCCAACTCTGATGGAAGCTGGTTAGCCCCTTGGAGTCTGTGCCATGCCAGGCTTTTAAAAAGGGGTTCTGTCAGAAGAGCATTGTGCGCTGTTTTCCGTCAGCGACTTAGATCAAATTTGCTTCATTTATAAGAGCAAAAGGCTCCCTCTTCCCCTTGATGTTTCAGATGTCTCAGGAAGAGTCCCAGGTAGCCTGGTGGCTCGGGGAACCAGGCTCTAGGATCAAAGCTATCTATTTCACACACCACACAGGTGAGGTGGCTAGGCTTTGCTCTTCCCTTTTTTCTGATGAATCCCTCAAATCATTTTTCCTCGTAGCCTCCTGGCTTCCAGGCTATGTACAGACATTCTAGGGTCTTAGATTTGTCAACCTGGCCCTGTGTCAACCCAGTCAGTCGGCATGGCAAGAGGGGAATGTGTGTCCTCTTCCAACCAGAGCGCGCCAGATTTCTACAATCCGTGACTTGACTGTGTCCTTCATAGGGTGCGTTTAGGGGGATGAGGGTGAGACATGACCGCGAAGGCTGTGGTGTATTGGCTGTGGTGGGTGGTGTCTGGCTGGAGGAGTAGAAGATACAAACTCGGGGTGCCTTTGTGGGGGTCTGCTGAGCGCTAGGGTACAGCTGAGAGTAGGGGGACGCTAAGGTGGCTTTAAGCCACATTTTGCTCTCCCGATTTTGGGGTGCTCCAGGGGCTGGAGAGGCCCCACCAGCATATCTTAGATAGTCCTGGGGGCCTAAGTCACAGCACTATAGGTTGTGTCCTGACCCCAACACACCCCTTATGCCAGTGCTTGTGAGAGGGTCCTCTTCGGACAGCCTTACAGCTGTCTTCCACAGTGCCTGCACCAGGGAGAATCCTGGCCTGGCTGGATCTGGGGGGGATTTAGGCCCCTTTACACCACCTTGTCTCTTCTGCATAAAGGGGCCGGACGCAGCTGATGGTTTCACCCCTTTTCACTTCTTTGCTTTCAAGGGTGTCTGCGGTAGATACTAGATGTGTTGTCGTGTATTGCTGGCGGCTGTTCCTGGCTGGGAGCCACTGGATTAGCTCTGGTTTATTGGGGCTCTTGGCCTGTTGACTTTTTGGTTCTCTGAGTCAGAGCTGACTCCACAAACTGCGGTTAACATCCCTCACCCATAAATGAACATTGTCATGCGGGACAATAAAAAGTCACTGCTCGCTTAAATCCAGCACATGCTGTTTGGAATCGGACCGGCATTCCTGTCTTGTTGTAGTGAGTGAATGGAGGAGGTTCCAAGGTGCTACAGTCGGACAAATAATAACATGGGGAAAGGCCAATAAGTAGCTAGGAGGCAGCCGTTCGGAAAAGATGAGCTGTTAAAGCAATGATTCCAGGGCGTCTATAAATAACCCTCCAGCTGAAAAATTACACGGAAACATGATTTTATGACTCAAGAATCGTAGCAAAACATCACCTAAACCAGATTTTCTGAAGAGCTCATACTACTGGGTGCTGAGATCTCTTGAAATTCCGACCATTTGGGTGCACAGATTCCTCGATTTTATTGCCAGGAGGGATTGTTAGGGCATCTAGTCTGAGCTACTGTATAGCATCCATCCCACTACCCCTGTGCTGAGCCCCTTAACCTGTGATAGGCTAAGCGACCCTTCTGGAGAGACATCCGGTCTTGACCTGAAGCTATTGCGAGATGGAGAATCCACCCCTTCTCTCAGGAGTTGGTTCCAGTGGTTAATTCCCCCTGCTGTTCAACGTTTGGGAAAAGGGGAGAGGAGTGCTTACAAATTCCATGTGCCGGCCGTTACCAAGCAAATGGCTACAGGCCCATCTGCCCACGTATTGATTTCAGCTCAGCAGAACTTCGTGCTTGCGGCTCTTCCTACCTGAGAGCAGCGCCAGTGCCCAAAACACGCACCTAATCCGCTTCTCTGCCTGTCCCAGCTCAGTCTCCTCTGCCAGGCTTCCCTGGACAATTCATGGAGGTTTTTTGGTCAGTGGCTTGTCCCTCTGTCAGATGAATGTCTTTGGTTCCAGGGCCTGTTTGAGCCGATGGGGCTTCATCCCGTGATGTGTCAAGCACCCCCTGGAGTGGGAATCAAGGGGACTCTGCCTCTGGCAGGATCAGGCCCTAACGACACTGCCTTTGGACGTCTTGGCTCCAAGCACTTGGAGCTCATGCACGAAGGAGAGGATTCATGTACAGCTGTGGATGTGTAGGGTGCAGCTGGGTGGAAGCGGGCAGCCCATGTAAGCAGCGGAGGCGGGTAGGCAGTGCCCGCAGGGCTCTGGATTATTGGGTGCCATCCTGTTGCTAACGAGTGCTTCTGCTCTCCTCCCATCTCGGCTTCTGCCAGCCATCGAGGACGAGTACAGCGGCCCCAAGCTGGACAACGGGAAGGTGACGCTAGCGTTCATGAAGGAGTTAATGCAATGGTACAAGGATCAAAAGAAACTCCACAGAAAATGTGCCTATCAGGTAATTGCCTGCCTGCCCTGCTATAGGGCGGGAGGCTTATGCGTGGAATCCTTCGCCCTTTCTTCGGAAGGAGCTGGCATCCTCTTTCCCAGCTGTGGGTGGCAAAGACTGCTGCGGCTGGTCGACAGGAGTCCAGGGTGTAAAATGGAGCCAGCTTGCAGCCGGTGTCACTTTGTAACATAGAGGGAGCCATAAAGACTACATGTCCCAGCTTGCAGTGCTTCCGTGTCATCAAGATGGCACATTGCATGCTGGGAGCTGAACTCTCCATCCACCCTGTGTGTTGGGGGGCCCCCTGTTTGCAAGGCCAGGGACTTGCCCAGCAAGATGCTGGCAAAGGGCGGGGACCTGTTGCATCTGGAGACAGGGCTGTGTCCTTCATTTCCCGCCCCATCCTGCCTTTGCTAACTCTTCCTTTTCTCCCTTGGGCAGATCTTGGTGCAGGTGAAGGAGGTGCTCGTCAAACTCCCCACTCTAGTAGAAACCACGTTAAAAGAGGTGGGTATCCTTCTCTGCAGCCTTGGGGTGGCAGGTCCTGGGATCCCAAACCTGCTCACCCAGTACTGCGGAAGCTCCGGTGGCTTCATATCTCCCCTCCCCCCTCAGGCTGCTTGGGGGCCAAAACAGTCTGTGGTGTAATTCGAACCATGGCTTGCCAGCACTGCCTATGAGCAGCTGTTCAATCCATGCCATGTCTCCTCCCACCTCTGACCTCACCTAACTTGGGGCTTGCCAAGCTAACCTGTATGGGACTCTGGACCAGCGGAGATCCATCCCTGGCTGGCTAAGCCGCTGGGATGGCCTCTTGTTGCAGCATGAGGCAGTGGAGTGGGAGGGGGAATCCCTTACTGCGTGTCCAGCCCTTATCTGAGAGCATTTGCAGCTGTCCAACGGCTTTTGGGATTGGAGTGGGAGGCTCTGACATGTCTGTTCTTTGATCCACCCATTGCTGTCGTAACCAGAGTCAGAGCCCTCAAAGGGGCCGGGTTGCTTGAAATAGGCCGTTTTCTTCCCCTTGAGTTACATACTTCCCTCCTTGTCCCAGCATGGTGATGTGCTGGGCTCGTGATGAGGGATCCCATGATCCTTTTCACCAGAGTTAGGGTCGTTATCGTTGTTGTCTGGGACAGATTCAGGCATGCAGTTCCAACCTGCCTCCCTAAATTCCTGGATTCAATGTAGTTCTAGCCGTGTTGGTCCCAGGATATTCGAGAGATGAGGGGGTCCAATAAAAGATTATTACCTCAGCCATCCAGTCTCCGTAAATTCCTGCTGGTCAAAATGGACCCAGTATTCTCTTTGTGTCCTCAGTGCGAGCAGTGTTACTATGCCCTGTTAATCAGCTGCCATGTCCAACCCCAGAGGTGGTTGCATTTCACCACGGATGTATTAATTTAGATGGAACATATGAGCCCAATGAGTCAAAAGCATTAACCTGGCCCTGCAGCTGTCCAACATTAAACAGAGTTAAACAACTTGTGGGGACCTCAGCCTGCTTAGCACCATGGCAAGCGCATTGTTAAACGTCATTTTAGTCTTTTATTCAGGATACAGAAAATAAGGAAAAAGAGGTTGAAATGTAAAATATTAAGTCAGGCTTTCATTTTAACAGCCTCACTTGTTCCCTTTTCCTTTAGCTGGACGGATTTTAGAAAGAAACTCCCCGTCTCTGACATCTAAAAGACTGGCACTAAAGATGGTAGTTACTATACGTTTGGGGGAAGAGAGACAAAGTTAGTTGAAATGTGCTTGAGCGGCTGCTATTAAAGTCTGAAAGATGAGAGGAGACCAGACAAACAGCCACAAGAGGAAAGACAGAAAAGACAGCTTCTGTCTGTGGTTGACTTTTACTTGCAGCCTCACTGCTGGAAAAACTCAGGCCCAGCCCCCGGTCTGATCAGCCACTCTGAGACCTGGCAAACTTGTACCAGCATCGGGCTGTTTAGGGCCTTCCTCTGGGCTGCCTCCTTCTGGTCCCAGGCTTACAACAGTGTTGGCCAGCTAAGCCAGACTCTTATTAGACCGAAGGAAAATGGAGAGAGACAGGAAAGAGAAGAAATAAGGTAGGGAAGGAAAAGGGCACATTGGAGGAAGGAGACAAAGTCTCATGTCCCAGGTAGTATTCAGAATTTAGCTGGAGCTACTGGAGGTGACGATATCATCTGGCTCCCTCCGTCTGGTCTGGTCTGGTCAGGTCAGGATATGTCTCATGATTGGGATGAAGACAGTCCAGGGTCCAAGGAGATGGTGGGTGTAGCAGCCATGATGGTGAAGCATGTGTCTGAGTCAGCCAGCCTCACGGTTTCATAGATTCCAAGGCCAGAAGGGACCATTTTGATCATCTAGTCCGACCTCTTGCATAACCCACACCAGTGAACTTCCCCACAGTCATTCCTCGAGCAGATCCTTTGAGAAACCAGCCGCTCTGGATTTAAAACTTGGTGATGGAGAATCCACCATGACCCTTGGTAAATAGTTCCCATGCTGCCAGCTTTCTCCTCCCCCGAAGTCTCTTTTGGAGGATCCCGGAAGGGCTTGATGGGTGGGATAGTCCGTCCTTTCATCATTTTATCCAATTCAGCCTGTTTTCTGACACACCAATTTTGGTTTGTTGATTTCCAGTCCCACACTTGTTTACCAGGCACGATCTTAACACAATTGTTGAATTATATCAGTAGGCATTTTGGTTTAGACCGATTCAGTCCTTTTGTCTCCCTTTGGCACATTTTCCCATCAGCAGTCGTTATAGTTTATTAAACGTATACTCACTTTTTAAAGTTAAGCTTGCAATTAGGGTAAATGTGTAGGCCCAATTATTAGACCAGTGAGCAGTCCCTGTTTAAACACCTGGCATGCCCCCTCCAGACGTGTGTGGGGAAATGATCACTGTATGAACAGCTGCCACGCTCCACCCCAGACGTGGCTGAGTTTCTGTGCTGGGTGAGGGATCCCAGTATAAACAGATGCCATGTCCCACCTCAGAGCTGGCTGTGTATCCACAGTGGGCTGAAGCCACTCTTGCAAAGTGCTTTGGGATCCTGCATGGGGAGAGGTGCTCTGTCTGGCTTGGGTTTTACTTTTCTTCTGTCTCCTTCTCCTTTTTCTCTTCTCCTCTCTCGGCCTCTCCCAGACAGAGAAGGTCACGGTGTGCGGAGACACCCACGGGCAGTATTACGACTTGCTGAATATATTTGAACTGAACGGGCTGCCGTCTGAAACGAACCCATATGTATCCTTTGCTGGTTCCCCCTTTGATCTAGCATGTGATGTGTGCTCTCTAGGAACAGGAGGTGACAGGGCTAGGAGACAGACCTGGGTTCTGTTCCAGCGCTCGGATGTATTGTTTCCCCTCCCCATGCCTTGGTTTCCCCATTTGTACTGTGCGGGAAATGGTCCTGACTGCCACTGAGATCTCGGCATAGAGCAGAGGTGGGCAAACTATGGCCCGCAGGCCCCATCCAGCCTGCAGGACCCTCCTGCCCGGCCCCTGAGCTCCTGGCCCGGGAGGCTAGCCCCTGGCCCTCCCCTGCTGTTCCCCCTTCCCCAGCGGCCTCAGCTGGCGCAGTGCTCTGGGCGGTGGGGTTGCAGGCTCCTGGGGCAGGGCAGCTGCAGTGCCCGGCCTGACCCGGTGCTCTGTGCTGCGTGGTGGCGTGGCTGGCTCCAGCTGGGTGGCACGGCGGTAATGCCGCCAGCCACCGATGCTCCAGGCAGCACGGTAAGGGGGCAGGGAGCAGCGGGGGTTGAATAGAGGGCAGGGGAGTTTGGGGTGGTGGTCAGGGGGCGGAAGTGTGGATAGGGGTTGGGGCGGTCAGAGGGCGGGGAACAGGGGGGCTGAATGGGGGCAAGGGTCCCAGGGGGGCCAACAGGGAACAGAGGGGGTTGGATGGGGCAGGAATCCCTGGGAGGACAGTCAGGGGGCGAGAAGTGTGTGTGTGTGGGGGGGGGAATAGGGGGCGGGAGGCTGGGCCACGTCTAGCTGTTTGGGGAGGCACAGCCCCCCCCCCCCACCGGCCCTCCATACAATTTCCAAAACCCGATGCGGCCCTCAGGCCAAAAAGTTTGCCAGCCCCGGCATAGAGATTATACTCCCATAGTGACCTGTTCCTGACTGCCGTGCTTTGTTGAGCCTGACAGCAGAGCATGAGTCCTGAGTCGGAGGGCTTGGGGAATGAGTTAAAGCTACACCTTGGTGGTGCTGGGCTAAATTCTCTCTAAGCTGCCCAGCTGCTCAGCAGTGCCATGCAGGCGCTCAGGGCTGCGGTGGGGAGAGATGCTTCTCCCCCAGCCCTGCTGTGGTGGGGAGAGGCGCCGCTCCCTGCTGGCCGCAGCCCAGCCCCCGACCTGCCACGGCTGGGGGAGAGGCGCCCTGACCCCAGCCCAGCCCCGGACCTGCCGCGGCCAGCGGGAGAGGTGCCTCAACCCAGCCCCGGCCCCAGACCTGCTGTGGCTGTGGGGAGAGGAGCCCTTCCACTGACCCCCAACCCAACCCTGGCCTGGACCTGCCGCGGCCAGGGGAGAAGCACCTCTCCCCACGCAGCCCAGGTGTTGCTGAGGGGGAGTCCTCTCTCCCCGCTGTAGCCCCGGGGGAGCCTGCACCCCAAACCCTCATCCCTGGTCCCACCCCAGAGCCCGCACCCCCAGCCGGAGTCCTCAGCGCCCCAGCCCTCTGCCCGAGCCCCCTCCCACATGCCAAACCCTTCGGCCCCACCCCCTCCACATGAATTTTGTTATGTGCACCAGTTTGGAGGTGATGTGTCACACATCACCTCCATATTGGTGCACATAACAAAATTCATTCCTCACATGCGTGGGAAAAATTAGAGGGAACACTGGAGCTAGGGTGTCCTAGGGGGGTCTCCAAGATGCTTTCCGGGGAAAGAAGCTGGGGGGGGGGGGGTCACACACCATCTGTCAGGCCTTTGGGTGGGACTGGGAAAGAGGCTCCAGAAAAGTGGCGTTGGGGAGAGGAAAGGTGCTGAAAGGGAGGGAAGGAAGGCTGGCCCAGTGGCTAGGGCTGCCAGCCTAGGGCTTGGAGACCAGGGTTTAAGTCCCTGTGTGGTCTTGAGCCAATCCATTAGCCTCTCTGTGCTTTGGTTCTGTAAAATGGCAAATCCCAGGGTTGCTTGCTCCAGTACTGTGGTGGTGTCGGGGGGGCCATACAAGTACCTAAGGTGGATCACAGTGTTCTTCATCCCAGAGTGACGCCTGGGCCCGTTTTCCTGAGCGCAGCCCCCTCGGCAGATATTCAACGGGGATTTCGTTGACCGCGGCTCCTTCTCCGTGGAAGTGATATTAACGCTGTTCGGTTTTAAGTTGCTGTATCCGGATCATTTCCACTTACTCCGTGGTAAGTGCAGTCCCATCCCACCTTGGGGTGGGGGTGGGGGGGAGCAGCGGGAATAAGCCACTGGAGAGCTCTGCTTTGTACTCAAGTCGGGGCAAGAGCTCCCCAAACTGTCCCCTTCGCTGGCTGTTTTCCTGGTGCTTCCCCAAGCTGCAGCAGAGACCCAGAGTTGGAGTTCTCCTTCTTAGCAAAGCTGGCTTCTCCAAATCCACCTGCTGTCTCTGAGATTCCCCAGCTGCAAAGGATCATGGGGATCATCATGGAAATGTGGAATTCCCTGGATGCTCTGGCTTTCGCTCCTTTCCTACCCTTTCCCAGCTCTCTCATGCCTTTTCAGTTGGTCTCTGGGTGGGTCACAGTCTCCGAGTCATTGATATTTTATGGTTATATCTAGCCTGAGCGTCTGAAAAGACCTGGGTGCATCCCTCCCCTAAAGCTAACTTAGCCGAACCAAGCGGGCATGAAAATTCACCAGCCCTATCACAGAGTCTGCGTGCCCACGGTGGGGAATGAGTTAAACCCACCGAAAGTGATGCCCCCGTCCACAAAAGAACCAAGTTGCTCAGGGCGATCGCTCCTGTATAGCAGCTGTCACCACTCCCGCTTGGCAGCAATATTAACCTCTTCCCTGCCAGGAAGGAGAGAAAGGTGCCACCATTCACAGCCTTCCGCATGCTTGAGAAGCTGAGCTTTGCCAACCAGCCCAGGCTCTAGATGACTCTTGTGAGGGGAGCGGTTACCCCACCTGGAGGCCCTCCAGTGAGCAGCAGCCACGAGATCCACATTTAAGGCCTGCCAGTCCCAGAGTGCTTTGTTTCACTGATCACTTCCTGCAAGGCCAGAGGGGCCCACTGCGATGATCTGGTCTGCCCCCCTGTATAGCATGGGCCAGAGAGCTGCCCTGAAGCAATCCTGTCGGAGCCGGTATCTTAGAAAAACCATCAGTCTTGATTTTAAAATGGCCACTGATGGAGAATCCACCACAGCCCTTGATGAACTGGTGCAATTGGCTGATTCTCTTCACTGTTAAAAATTAGCACCTTATTTTTGGTCGGAATTTGTCTCGCTTCATCTCCCAGCCATTGGCTCTTGTTAGACTTTTGTCAGATCTAAGAGCCCGTGATCCCATATTTGTTCCCGATGGGGTTACTTCCAGATTGTGATCAAGTTACCCCTTCACCTTCTCTTTCAGCTAAACAGGTGGAGGTGTGGGAGCTGATCCCTGTCAGGCATGCTTTCCAATCCTGGTTGATCACGGTGTGAACACAGGAAAGCATCCCAGCTCACAAGCCAGTTGGGGCTCGGTAGAGCCTCCAGAGAGGGAGGAAGGAAGGATGGACCAGTGGTTAGGGCACAAGCCTAACTGTTGGCAGACTTGGGTTTAAGTCCCAGCTCTGCAACAGACTCCCTGTGTGACCTGGGGCAAGTTCCCTAGTCTTTCTGCGCCTCCATTTCCCCATTTTTTGAATGGGGATATTAGTCCTGCCTTGCCTCATCGCAGAGCTGGGAGGATAAATGCATTAAGGATTAGGAGATGCTCAGATACCAGAGTGAGGGAGGCCAGGTTTAACTTCAAGTTAAAAGCCACTGCTTGAATTTTGCTCAGAAATGCATGAGGGAGCCAGGTAGCTCAGGGTTAATGAGGTGACCCCTGCCCCGTTCTGCTCCGTGTGGACAGCGCTAACCCAAAGGGCTGTCCAGCCAGTGAGCCCAGATGAAATGGCTAAACTATCCTAGATCTGCCTTAGGAATTGTTTGGGGGCAGTTCTCTGGCCTGTGCTATACAGGAGTCAGACTAGATGCTCTCTTCTGGCCTTGGAATCAGTGAATCTCTAAAGCAGTAAAACTCCCCCCATCCCCCTTGTTAATGCTGGCTGTCAAATCAGCCCAATGATGGGGGCTTCCTTGGGGAGCAGCCACACTGACCTTTATTAATGCATTAAACCTTTCGCTACTATTCTGGTGGCTCTGTGCTGCAGTGAATTGCTCAACCCCATCCCTCCCTCTGCCCTGGGGAAGGGACGACAGCCAGTCTTGGCCGTCTGTTGGCCAGAGCTGGGCAGCTCTCCTCTCTCCAGCTGGACCCCCGTTGGTTGGTTGATGTTTTTTCCCGCACCTCTTTGGCCCCCAGGGAATCACGAGACGGACAACATGAACCAGATCTACGGGTTCGAGGGGGAGGTGAAAGCCAAATACACAGCCCAGATGTTTGCGCTTTTCAGCGAGGTCTTTGAGTGGCTGCCCCTGGCGCAATGCATCAATGGCAAAGTATTGGTGAGAGCGGAATACAGCACTGCGGGGTGGCGGGGGGACACGCATCCGGACCGGCAGTGGGCATGGAGAGTAGCCCAAGGCCCGGTGTGTAATCCTGAGCATCTCCATGGCTTGGATCTACCTCTAGCCCGACTGTTACCTCCCTCGGAGCTGGTCTGGGAGGGCACTGTGTGTGTTAAACCCCAGTCAGAGCAGGGGTCCGACATGTCCCCTTGCCATGTACTCCCCTTCCCAGCTGTTCCTGCCCGCCCCCCATGGGGGGGGGGGGGCGCGGAAGGCTAAGGCAAGCTCGTTGCTATGGCCTGACCTATCTGAGCACCCTCTCCCCACCCATGACCTGTGCTGTGCTCCTGCCAGATAATGCACGGCGGGCTCTTCAGCGAAGATGGGGTCACGTTGGACGACATCCGGAAGATTGAGAGGAATCGGCAGCCTCCGGATTCAGGTCAGGACAGGAAGGCGCGCCCTGCATGGGGTGGGGTGTTGTATGTGGCCAGGCCTTTCCCGCTGCAAGGGATTGCACTGGTGGGGTGGGACAGTCCCCTGCGTGCACCGATCCTGGCCCACGGAGAGAGACAGGGAGAGCCCTTTTGGTTTCCTTGGATCATACTGTACAGCGGAGTCGTCGGCAGCTGCCCGCTTTTGTGAAGCACCGGTCCCTGTATTCTGTGGGCACCTCCGCTGGTGCTAATCCGTGTCGCCCTAGTGACTACAATGGCTCTGTGCTGGTTTACATCAGTGGGGAGCTGGCCCGCATAACGCTCTGGGGCTGGGCATGACCGCACCCCTGTCCCCAGCTTGGCCAGCTCACACCAGATCCTCCTTCCTTGCTGCGTTTTACGCCCTATGGGACTGGGCCTATCCGCGGCGTGCTGGTGTCAGGCGCTGCAGCATGGTGTGGAAACCACTGAGGGATCCCCTGGATCAGTTACCTGGAAGCCAGTCGAAGGGTATAAATCTGGAGGAAGTAACATGTGCTGTTTAAAGAGGCAGGACTGAGGAATGTTGAGGAATGTAAAGGAATTAAGTTTTCGCCAGATAACCTGGCCCCCTTCCAAGGGAGCTGAGGAAAACCTGGCCGCTGGGGTCTTTGAAACAAGGCTAAATAACATATTTGAAAACACAGGCTAGGGAATGACTCTGCCCTGAAAGGAAAGCGATCATCTATGATGCGGACTTTCCATTGCTCATTTCCACGAGGGACTGCTTGGCTTGCAGAGTGGAGTGTTTTCCTTTGGAAACTGGAGTGAGTTAATGTTCAGCTCTGTAGTCACGCACCGGGCCAAATCGATCGCTGCTGTCAACCCACCAGCTTCGGTAAAGTCGCCCGTGGCTGCCTCCAGGCCACGGTGCTTGTGACACGCCCTGCATGGGAGTCCAGAGGGCTGTACAATTTCAGTTGGATAGAAACGTCAGAGCAAAGTGTCAGGGAGCCGGCAGTGTGGATTTATGCCACATGCTGCAATCTGATTTCACCCCACCCCCAGCTGAGGAGAGCCAGGACATGCCAGTGCTTGGATGGGAGACCAGGGAAAGGGACCCCTGCTGGGCTGCAGGAAGTGGGGCTGGTGGTAAGTAACCTTCCCTGTAAGTCAATACAGGAGCAGTGCCCTAGGGGGTGCCGTGCTGCAGGAAGTGGGGCTGGGTGCTAGGGGGCTGCCCCTGTAAATCAGTATGGGAGCAGTGCCTTAGGGGGGGCCGTCCTGCAGGAAATGCTGCTTGAAGGACCAAACTAGCCAGTCACTGCCTGCTTTTCCCAGACCGGCCTATGTAACCGGGGGTGTCCTGGCTCAGATCCAGCTCTGGTAACAGTTCCACCAGCGGTTTCAATTAGCTCCACTGTTCCAGTGCACGGTTACACAGTCGCTCCCCCTGCCCCCTCCCCGAGTTGGTGGCTTTCCGTGCTGAGGGACAGATCCTTAGCTGTTCGTATCCCCCTTGGGTGACCAGATGGCAAATGTGAAAAATCGGGACGGGGGGTGGGGGGTAATCGGTGCCCCAAATATCGGGACTGTCCCTATAAAATCAGGACATCTGGTCACCCTATATCCCCCAGTGGCTGGGTGTGCTTAGAACATGCTCCCTGTGCCTGGTGTCCCATGCCACCGCCCCCCAAAAGCTTTGTTTCTTTTTGTTAACTTTTCCTTCCAGTGGCATCACGCTTTAAAAGCACGTTTGGGTGCCCACTTGGATCCTTCTCCCTCCTGTAGTTTCACCGCCTGAAAAGGCCTCAATGCTCAGGCGTGTCTCTAAAGCACTACATCTCTCTGTGATCCTAAGTACCAGGGAGTCACTTTGCCTCGTTCAGGTTTTTGTCTGGCTCTCATCACCACACAATATTTACCATATTTATCCTCATAACCCTCCAGAGAGGCAGGGCAGTGCTGTAATCCGGTTTTACAGATGGCGATAAGGTGCGTAGACAATGAATTGGCCACGTAGCCCAAGTACTGGGTTAGTGCTCTAACCACTGGGCCCTCCTTCCTCTCCACCAAGATGGTCAGGAGCAAAACCCTAAACCTCTGACTGCCAGCTGCCGGAGGGTGGGAGGGGATAGACGGGTGCATCACTCCAGCTGTCCAGTTCTTTGTACACCCCAGAAGACGGGACACTGGGCTGAATGGACCATTGGTCTGACCCACTGTGGCCATTCTTATGTACCAGGAGAGGTGAAGTGACTTGGGAAATCTTCTGTTCTTCATTGGGAAACCAAAAAGCTTTTGTCTTTTTGATGAAATCCCAATATTTTTGGGGGGGAATGAACATAAGAGTGGCGATATTGGGGCAGACCAGTGGTTTGTCCAGCCCAGTACCCTGTCTTCCAATAGTAGCTGGTGCCAGATGAACACAACCAGGGCAATTATTGAGCGTTCCATCCCCTGTCATCCAGTCCCAGCTTCTAGCAATCAGAAGTTTAGGGACACCCAGAGCATGGGGCTGCGTCCCTGGCCATCTTGGCTAATAGCCATTGATGGACCTGTCCCCCAGGAACTTATCTCATTCTTTTTTGAACCCAGTTATACATTTGGCCCTCACAACCTCCCCTGGCAGTGAGTTTCACAGGTTGACTGTGCTCTATGTAAAGTACCTCCTTATGTTTGTTTTAAACCAGCTGCCTATTCATTTCATTGAGTGACCCCGGGTTCTTATGTTATGTGAGGGGGTAAATCACACGTCCTTATTAATTTTTTCCACCCCAGTCATGATTTTATAGACCACTCTCATATCCACCCCTCCTCAGTCGTCTCTTTTCTAAGCTGGACGGTCCCAGGTTTTTTAATCTCTCCTCATTTGGAAGCTGGTCCATCCCCCCTCATCATTTTTGTTGCCCTTCTCTGTACCTTTGCCAGGTCTAATAAATCTTTTTTGAGGTGGGGTGACCAGAAATGCCCGCAGTATTCAGGGTGTGGGTGTACCATGGATTTATATGGTGGCGTTATGATATTTACTGTCTTCTTATCTATCCTTTCCTAATGGTTCTTAACATTCTGTTCGCTTTTTTGACTGCAGCTGCGTGTTGAGCAGATGTTTTCCGAGAACTAATCACGGTGATTCCAAGATCTCTCTCCTTACGTGATAACAGTTAATTTAGACCACATCATTTTGTATGTATAGTTGGGATTATTTTTTTTCAATGTTCATTACTTGGCATTTATCAACATTGCATTTCATCTGCCATTTTGTGCCTGGTCACCCAGATCCCTTTGTAACTCTTCATGGCCTGCTTTGGACTTGACTGTCTTGAGTAACTTAGTATCATCTGCAAACTTTCCCACCTCAATATTTATCCCCTTTTCCAGATCATGTATGAACGTATTGAACAGCACTGGTCCCATACAGATCTTTGGGGGACCTGGCTGTTTACCTCACTTCTCTGTGAAAAACTGACCATTTAGTCCTACTCTTTGTTTCCTGTCTTTTAACCAGTTACTGATCCATGAAAGGCCCTTCCCTCTTATCCCATGACTGCTTACTTTGCTGAAGAACCTCTGGGGAGAGACCTTGTCAAAGGCTTTCTGAAAGTCTAAGTACATTATATTCACTCTATCACCCTTGTCCATATGCTTGTTAACACCCTCAAAGAATTCTCCTAGATTGAAGCATGATTTCCCTTTGCGAAAGCCATGTTGACTCTTCCTAACATATCATGTTCATCCATGTGTCTGATAATTCTGCCCTTTACTATAGTTTCAACCAATTTGCCAGAAAAATTAGGAAATTTGTCTTGTAGTCAGGCTTACTGGCCTGTAATTGCCAGGATTGTTTCTGGAGCCTTGTTAAAAAATTGGCATTACATTAGCTCCCCTCCGGTCATCTGATCCAGAGGCTGATATAAGCGATAGGTTAAATACCACAGCTAATAGTTCTGCCATTTCATATTTGAGTTCCTTCAGAACTCTTGGGTAAAAATCACCTGGTCCTGATGACTTATTACTGCTTAATTTATCCACTGGTTCCAAAACCTCCTCTATCGACACCTCCATCTGGGACAGTTCCTCAGATTTGTCACCTAAAAAGAATGTCTCAGGTGTAGGAATCTCCCTCAAATCTTCTGCGGTGAAGACCGATGCCAAGGATCCATCTAGCTTCTCCGCAACGGCCTCCTCTTCCATGAGTGCTCCTTTAGCATCTTAATTGTCCAGTGGCCCCACTGATCGGCCCACTTCCTGCTTCTGATGTACTTAAAACTTGCTGCTAGTTTTTGTGCCTTTTGCTATTTGCTCTTCAAATTCTTTCTTGGCTTGCCAGAGTTTATGCTCCTTTCTATTTTTCTCACTAGGATTTGACTTCCAAACATGATGCCCTTTTGCTTCTAATGGCCCGTTTTACTTCTCTGGTTAGCCATGGTGGCCTTTTTTTGCTCCATTTACTGTTTTTATTTATTTATTTGGGGTTTACATTTAGTTTGAGCCTCTATTATGGTGTTTTTAAATAGTTTCCTTGCAACTTGCTGGCATTTCTCTCTCTCAATTTCCATTTAACTAACTTTCTCATTTTTGTTTAGTTCCCCTCTTTGAAATTGAATGCTACTGAGATGTGGGGTTTTTTGGTATTTCCCTCCAGAAGGATGTTTATATAATAATTTTATGGTTGCTGTTGCTGGATGGTTCCGCTAATCTTTTGGATCTTGTGCTCTGTTTAGGACTAAATCAGGAATTGCCTCTCCCCTTGTGGGTTCCAGGACTAGGTGCTCCAAGAAGCCGTTATTAACAGCGTCTAGATATTTTATCTCAGGATCTTGTCCTGAAGTGACATGTACCCAGTCTGTATGGGGATTATTGGAATCCCCCCTTATTTGTTGTTTTTGTTGCTTCTCTAATCTACCTGAGCATTTCACAAACACCATCACCATCCTGGTCGGGTGCTCGGTGTATATTCCTGCAGCTATGTTCTTATTGTTCAAGCATGGAATTTCTTTCTGTAGAAATTCTGTGGCACAGTCTG